CAAAAAGGTAATCCATGCCTGTAATTCTAGCACTTAAGAAGCTGAGGCAGGAGGATGGTATGAGTTTAAGGCCAGCTTGAACTGCATAGCAAGACTCTGTCTCAAAAAAATTTTTTGTGTTAATATGAATACACTTTGCTGCTGTGTATTAAGCACTGGACTAAGAGCTATGTAGGATTATCCACAAAACTGTCATACTGTTAAAGTAGGATATATCATCAGCATTTTACAGATGAGAAAATTGAGGCCTACAGAAGTACGTTGCCAGAGTTCACACAGCAGTAGGAACAGAAATGCGTTTGAATTAAGGACCGTGTAACCCCAAGTGCTGGTGTCCACAACCCCTTGAAGACTGCGTCCCTATGTATAGGAAAATGGATGAGACATAATTCTCCTATGTCTTAAACCCCAAAATACGGGCACTGGACAGGAAGGAGAGGTAACCTGGGCCAGGTGTGGTAGTGCACGCCTGTAATCCCAGCACCAGGGGCTGAGGCAGGAGCTTAGCTGTGAGTTCAAGGCCACCCTGAACGACAGCAGTGAAACCCTATCTCAAAACCATCAAACAAAGAATAACCTGGGCCTTCCACTGAATTTCACAGATTAGGAGCCCAAGGGACAGTTTCATAGGAGAAAATTAAGCTGAGAAGCCCCTGAATTGCAGAGAAAAGAAGAGGCCTTACCCAAAAACCCATATTCAGCCCCTGTGTGGACTCAGCCTTCACATGTAATGATAACACCATCAGGACAGTGTCTTTGGGCGATGGTAGATGCATCCATGAGAAGAGTCATTTTTTCATGTTGCCTGTGATGCTGTTACTCATTAGATTTCACTTTTCACGTTTACATTTCTTGTGGTGATTTGATTCAGGTGACAGGCCAGTACATTTCAAACGTCACTGTGTATGTGAATCCATAAACCCAGGATTTGGCAGGTCTCAGGTGGATCCTGAAGGCTCTGCACTTCCAGCGACTCCCAGGAGATGCTGCCCATTGACTGACCATACTGCACATGGCAGAGATGCAGACAGGGTTGAAGATACCTTTTCAGCATGCCTGCTTTGTCGGAAGCATCTCCCAGCATCCTTATTTTTTTGTTTTGTTTCATTTCTGTGGCTGGTGACTAGTGCCATGACCTGCTAAGTTCTGGTCAGGAAATGGTCAACAGAATTTCCTTAGGCATTTACCAAGGCCTGACTCCATGAACTTTCTTAATGAGCCAAGGCCACCACAATGGCATCTTTAAAGATAGGGTTTAATAGGGAGGGTGGATTTGGAAAATCTGAACTGAAGACTGCAAGGTGCAGGACAGGTGGAACCGTGTTGGGTGCAGAATGTGTTCATGGTAGCAGAGTGTTGCTTGTGTTGGAAGTGTTTGGTTTAACCTTGTTATCATGAGTGAGGTTGTCGGCTCTGCTGTCGGTCAGCTGTGCATCTTTGGATAAGTGACTGTACCACCCTTAGGCTTAATTTCTTTATCTGCAAAGAAATGATGAGATGAAATAATATATGTACATACAATAGGACATGTAGCCTTTGCAACTCAGTATTTCCTAATTAAGAAAGGGGATAAAATTCTTTTCAGCCCTTCAGGCTTAAATTAGCTAAGAGTTTTACCTAGTGAAGATTCTCCGGGATCTACTTTAATGAGTAAATAAACAAGATTTGCAATAGCATATTAAGTTTTTTGTGTAAATGGTGCTTAGGTGCCTGGAAGCCATGTAAGTAGAACAGTTGGTCCAACTTTATTGATTTTCCTGACTCTTCCAATAAAAAGAGATTTTCACCAGTTTTATATAGAGGATTTTAAGATGCATTCCCTATTATTCTGTTAAGTTGGAGACACAGAAGTAATGTAAAACTGGAGCAGGGAGTTTTGGTCTAAGTAACGTAAACAGCCCCCTAAGACTTTATATTAATCATCTGTTTGGCAGACCTTGGGTCCCTTCCCACTTCTGCTTTAACCGGCACAGCTTCCAAATTGGCCAAACCCAAAGGGAAACAGCCTTCACTCTCGCTGTGGCTGTAGGCCCAACACTGGTGCCTGACAGGCATTCTTTTCTGAGTGCGGATATAGAGGTGCTAAGCTGTAAGTATGACTCTTGACTCTCCCAAAGATTATAAAACCTCCTTCGTGTCTTTTGTAATACTCTTGGCTTCTCATCTGTATCCTCTTCTTCTGTCCATCTCAGCAATGATAGTGACCTCAGCAGCAATTGCCTACTAGATATAATCAGACGCACTGTGGAAATGGGTCTTATACACCAGTACAGTAATGGGGAGAGATTTTGATACCTGTTTCTAAAGAAGCAGGTATCAGAAAAGGCCAGGCTTGGCACACAGATGGTAGGTGGTAGAGCTGGACTTGAACTGAGGTCTGTTGATTCCAGAGGCCATCCTCTTAATCCCTGCGTTTTCCTGCCTTCTGGCTTGTGCCCCCCTGTGGCCTTTGTTTGGTGCAATACCTTTCTGTGTCTCTGCCTCTGTCCCTCCCAAGGATGTGGCTAGATGTGTGGTGATAGAGGGAATAATGACAGGAACAATGTGTGGATCCAAGGAAGGCGTAGACCATCTGCAAGAGGGAGAGAAGAGTTTGTCACAAGACCAGCTATATGTGACCTCCCCTGCTGACAATGACAGCTCTTTTTTTCCTGGGAGACAACCTAGTCTACGAGGAAGGTCATGGGCATCAGAGCCAGACAGACAAAAAGGAACCCAAGTCTGTTACTTAAAAATATGCTTGCTGAGCCTCAGTTTCCTAATTGTGAAGGGGGGAAAATGATATCAACTTGGCAGGCTTGCTATCAGGATTAGAGAGGATGCTTGCTCAGTAACAAGAAGCCACAGTTTCTCGCTTCTTTTCCCACCTCTTTGAGCCTTCTTTCCTACCTCTTATCATCCAAGCAAATATAAAAGGTCTAGACACTATTTCTTTGCCTTCAAAAGCCTGGGAAACTGCCAGAGGAGGGATGAGGGTTCTAGAGCATAAACTCCATAGGAACAAGGGCTTTGCATAGAAGGATCACCACCATAACCCAACAGCTAAAGGTGGGATTCCCAGCCTGAGAAATATATCAAAACCTCGTCTCAAAGTAAGAAATACAAAAAAGGCTAGGGACATAGCTCAGTGCACAGGCCCTGGATTCAATCTTCAGTTCTGCCAAACAAAAAAAAAAAAGAATAGTTAGTATCTCTGTGTTTAACACTGAACCAGTAAGTCCAGTAGAGACTGACTTGTTTACAAGGTAGAATCTTAGCTTATTTGCCCTTTTAAAATGGATTCTAGATTTTGCCTAGTTTTGCTTGTGAAAGAAACTTGAGATTGGGATTTGGGTGTGAGGGTTAGGCCTGTTCACATTTTTCGAGCACAAAACACTATGCTTTACCCTGAGCAAATGAGCTAATGTAGTCTGAGAACAACCAACAACTGGAAAAAACCTTTAAGATCATAGAATCCAACCTCCTCCATGAAGAAATCGGGAAGCTGGGTGAAGTAGTACATGCCTGAAATTCTAACACTCTGGGATGCTGAGGCAGGAGGATCAAGCCCAGTGTGGGAGACTTAGCAAGACCCTGTCTCAATATTAAAAAAAAAAAAAATTTAAAGGAATGGGGATGTAGTTCAGTGTGAAGGCTTGGGTATACTCTCCAATACCAGAAGCAAATTAAGCGGTACATCCTTATTATAAGATGTTAAACTATTGATAGAGCTATTGTTAGGCATGACCTTAGCAGGTTTTTGTGAGGAACTTCTCCACTTGCTCCACCTAGAAAGACTAACAAGAAACTCATATAGATATATACTGGTGTTAAAAATGAGATTCAACAAATATGGTGCCCTTGATGGTCTATGGTTCCAAGAATGTAATTTGTAGAGCCCTGTCGTGTTCATCCCACTGAGGCATTCCCATTGCTGTTACCTCTACTGCTGAGCTGGTGTGTGTTTTGCACACATCTTTTGTGTGCAGTGGTTTAACAGCTATCAAGAAAGTACATGCTGAGGGTGCCCAGGGATGTGCTCTGGGCGTTGAGGGTTGGTAAAGAGCAGAACGTGTGTTCCTTTTATAGATTGTAGGTCAGCTGTGAGCGTGGTGCTCTCTCCTTGCAGCGGTCCTTTTATTTCTCATCAGCAACCAGGTCTGGGTTTTTGAGCATTGTGTGGTGAAATATCTTAGACGTGATATAACTGGACCTCAACTAGAACACAAACTGCTAACTTAGTAATAGGAAATAGGAAGGAATTGAGAGTCTTAACATCTAAAAATCAATGAGATTAGATTATTTTATCTTTAATCTCTGGAATGGTGCTTGGTAAAACCAGCTAAATTGCAGAGGATTTTCTGGTGAATAACTCTGTAGTATGTTGCCATCTAGTGGAGCACATAGCAAATTTACGGTTAATGTGTCCTGACCGTAGAGTTCTACAGAGCTCGTTTAATCAGCGGGAGAAGGTAACTAAAAGATTTGCTAAAGGCAGGTGTTTGGGAAACATTCAAATCCAGGAAAAACCAAGTTGATGTTTTAGTGATATTTCCTTAAAGGAGGTGGTGCGTGATCATTCTGCTTCTCAGGAGTGTGGATTTTGGCCACCAGATTGTTGGCAGATTTTAAAACACATCACCAGAGTAGGACACTGAGTTTTCATTGTCACTGCTGCAGTTTCTTATCTAAAGCCCTACATAAAAATTTGGTTACTACTATGTTACTTTAGTGTTTTTCAAAACGTGATTCTAAGGTTTTCAATATCTTTCTTACTCCCTTTTCCTTTTCTTCTGTTAAATTTCCAGAGAATATCTGCGTTAATTTTTAGGAGAAACAAACCTAAGACTTCACCCAGAAGCAGTTCCATATTTTAAATTCTAATTAACATTCCCTAGATGTCCAATTCTGTTATCTTAGAGCCGATTTTTACTGAGATCTACAAATTTGAATTGTTGACTAGCTTATGAACACTGAATGTTTTTGTTTATATCTTTGTTCTTTTGTGGATGTTTTCTTAGATCTCTCCCTGGTGCCACTGCAGCTGAGTGTGCCTCAAATCTGAAGAAAATCTACACGGTACAAACAGTACAGGTAAGATCAAGAAAGGGGGACATAGCTCACGTTGGCCACTTAGTTGTCCACTTTGCAACTGGCAGCCTTTGCCAGAGGTTCTGCTCTGAATCAGGTTTTCAGGTCCATTTTGGTGCAGCTACCCTTGGCCAAGTCCAAGCGCAAGTGGCTCCTCGTTTGGCGCCTGCTAGGACTTTATTGCCTAAGCTTTCCACAGATCCCCCTGAGAAGCAGGCTGTGACTAAGAGTGAATGTTGTGAAGGCATGCGCTTGTGTGCCTGTTCCAAGCCTAGCTCTGCCACCGCCTTCTGCACCCCTTTTTCCCATTCGTGTAAGGCAGGGGCACCCACCTGCAGGGTCCCTGATGGTTTAGGGGACACATAGGGAAAGCAAAAAACTGCTTTACTTTCCAATACCACTATTCTAAATTAGGCACTTACTAACCTTTTTAATGTCTGTAAGATTGGTATAATATTGGCACCTACCTCCATGGTTATTGCAAGGATTGAATGACATGGTGTTTATACTATGCGTGGCAGAGCACCTGACAGGTAGCAGGTACTCAGCATGTGTAAGTTTTTGGTTCTGTAGGTTCTTTCTTTATCCAGCTATGAAGGTGAGTATTTTCAAATAACTAATTTGTTTAGCTGATCCCTTTTCTAGTGTCGCCACAAGCAGATCCCATCAAGTGTCCCTTCTCTTCTGGTGTCACATGCTACTGCAGATAAAATGAGGCTTTTGACAAAAGCAGCTTCAGAGTTACTCTGCCCTCACATCCTGGATTTCCTAAAAGGCACAGATTATAAATAATTTTGCTTTTGTGCTGCTAAATCTTGTAAAGTCTTAGAAATTCCAGTAGATTAGCATCTGGATTATGTCCTTTAGGCAGGTCCTTCCTGGCAGAAATAGCATATAGATCCCTTTCTCAAATCCTTTTGCCAACATGCGGTTTAGAAGTTGTGCTTTTGTAGCAGCACAACCCCAGGTATCTGTTCATAAGGTGCTGTGCATGGCCACCACACATCCTGACCGCAGACCGTTTCTTATCTAGTTGGGAAAATGACATAAGCATGTGGAAAGCAAAATAGCAGCCCCTCTGCAAAGAATCATTCAGTGCCAAATATGGGCAGTGTTACAGGGCATGACTGGTGCACACATGGGCAGCACATGGACTGGTGTCAAGAGAAATCAGTGCCATCGTACTCTGGGAAAGGTTTCCCTCGCTTTTCTCTCTCCAAGAATTTATGGACTGGTTGCCTCTTCCCAGCAACCATTGTGTGAACCTAAGAGACCTTACTTTTAAGGTTTCTCCTCCAGTAGAAGCTGTTTGATCCTGTTGTTAATTTAGGGACTCATTAGGCTTTTCCCACTTCTAATTGTATTGTGACAATTAGATCCCAAGAGGAGGGTGTGGGATCCAGGACAGACATCAGAAAAGTCAGATAAGGTATTGGCTCATTTTTCCTGATCCTCTGACAACAGACTATTTGTTTAGGGTTTGGATCCAGCAGCACATTAAGATCTTTAGGGAATAATCCCCAGGCTGGCACATGTAAGAAACACTTTCCTTAAAACTGAACTTTAGAGGCAGGGGTGTAGCTCAGTGATAGAGCCCTTACCTAACGTGTGAGGCCCTGGGTTCAGCCCCTAGGCACCAAACCAAACCAAACCAATACAAAAACAAAACTACTCTCTATTGGGTTGAATTTGTGTACACAGTAGATGTATATTTTTCAAGTACAAATTTTGACAAGGGAGTATATACATGTATCCATCACCTAGATCAAGATTAAAAACAACACACCAGAAATTTTCTTTGTGCCCCATTTCCCAGCAGTTCCCCTCCTGCAGATGCAGCCACTGCTGTGATTCCTGCAGCATACATTCCTTCTGTCTGACGTTGGACTTTAAGGGGATGGACTCACGTAGTATTATATTCTTTGGTGTCTGTTCTCTTTCACCCAGAACATATTGAAGGACTGAATACATGAGAAATAAATAAAGGAAACACTTTTCCTAGATCAGAGCAGATTGTTAACATAAAGATCCGTTCACCTGTGGGCTATGTATTTTCAGCGGGGAGATGTGGTCCTCAGGAGGTCAGTAAACAAGTCTTACTGTTTTTATGTAGAAAGTGTAGATGTATATGCAGTCTGTAGAGAATTCCACACTCTTGTGTGGTTTTAAAATTTCCTCAGTGGTGGTTACGCAGAAAGGGCTCCCTTTAGGTCAGCTGCAGGAGTAGGATGACAAGAAAACAGGCTGAGAAACATTGCTGTAAGTGGCCAGGAAGTTGCTTCTGGAGACCAATGTCTCTGTTTACTCCAGTTTCCTCATCTGTGAAACTGAGATAATAATCATGCTTACTCCATAAGGTTGGGCGAGGGCTAAATGAGATGGTACACAGTTCTCTGTAAGGCTTGGAACTTGGTAAGCTCTCACGTGTTGTTACTGGACTCTGCCCTTTAGCTCCTGCAGCTGACTGGTGAGGGTGTGAGCTAGTGTGTCTGGTTGTCACACTGCCTACATTCACATCCTGTAGTGTCTGCCACTCAGTAGCTTGCACACACTGTTTAACCTGTGTCTCAGTTCATTAACCTGTAAAATGGGCATGGACATAATAATAGACATTTTTATTATGCTGTTGTGAGAATGAACTGGTACAGGCAAGTAAAAAAGCACACAGTAAGTGCCCAGTCATAACAATAATCTCACCTGCATCATTCTTCTCTTTCTGTTGGTGCATCTTTTCATGCTTTCCTCAGTCATGTTTTACATAGGGAAACTATATACACCTGCTTCTGGGTTATTCAGTTCTGTTAATTTCAAGAATTATGCCCTGGATTACACCACTACTAATACCTCCACTTATAGAAACATATTTAACTTATTCATAACTTCTAGGAGTTCAGCCTGTGAGTGTCTTTAACATCTCTGGAATGGTCCTTACTGCTTAAGAACTAGCTGGAGTGCTTACTTGAAAGCCATCTGGGATACCTGTGCCCCAATGTCCTTTTACTCCGTGATTGTATGTTGATGCTCTGTCACTGTCCACACTGACAGTCTACATCCCTATTCCTGTTTCTGCTTTCCCCATGTATGGTTGGGTGAAATGTAAGAATCAGGGGTTATTACTGAGGGCTCTATGTTAAGACATAATATGTCTTTTTTCACTCTGGGGCCCTCCTGCAAATCCCAGTCATGGGGTTGGGGAGGAGTCTTTCTTCCTGGGTACTAGCTGGGGAGACTGAAGCTGGTAGGTAAGTAGCCCAAACATCCAGGGGAAACAGCTTATCACTTCCTCCACTTTGGTTCATTTCTCTCTCTCTGACTCCCGTGACTGAGGAGTGCAGGAGGCCCAGCCTCTAGAGGACCCAGTGACCCCTACTGAGGACACTGTCATTGCAGCCAGCAGTAATTCTAACTCTGCCTGGAGTCAGAGTTATTTCCTACTTTCTCATCTTTCTTGGAAATTTCTTTTTTCGCGTAGGTGTGTTCTCCAGATGCGCTTATTGATTCCTTCCAGTCTTTTGAACCTGTACACCTTGCACATTTTTCCAGTGTCAGTGCATCCTCTGTGGGCGCAGCAGAGAAGAGAAAATGACTTCGGAACATGCCCAGGCCTTGCTGTGGGAGGATGTGCAGCTACCTGCCAGATGAGATTTGCACAAGATCTCTTGTCCCCAGACCCTTTCTCTTCTGCCTGCCACAAGACTAAAAATTTCACCCCCCAAAATGCATTCCTGTGTAGCATTCCCTCTCAACCCTTAGTAATTTGTGTTATCAATTTCAAGATTTGCCATACTTGGGGCTGGGGATTTAGCTCAGCGGCAAAAGCGCCTGCCTGGCAAGTGCAAGGTTGTGAGTTTGGTTCCCGGTACCGGAGAAAAACCAAAAAAAAAAAAAATAAAAAAAAAAGATTTGCCATACTTGTCCCACTTATGCTGTGTTCTACCAGACAGAGCCCATACATCGATTTCATTTAAATTTATGCAACAGAAGTTTCATATTTTTTATAAATAGAATTTCACTATCATTCATCACAGCCAGAAAGTCTTCATAATAGTACCTATAGTCTAGTAAAATGAAAAGAGGACAGTCACCCTGTGTACTGCCAAGAACATCAAGACTTCCACTGTCAGCAGGTTAGGCTGCCTGATTATGGAGTTGTGGTGTTACGGGTCATTAAGTTAGAGCTGCAGATTGACTCTCAGACACTTGAGGAATGAGGCTTGTGCCTTGAGAAGCAGAGGTTTGTAGGTCAGTGTTGATAATAGAGGATGATGAAAAGATTGAGTCAATGTGTTTCCTGTCTTGGACACAGCAGGACAGCCTATGGCAGTGGGCATCGGACCTGGAGGGGGCTTCTGGGGTAAAGGAAGGGACACGAAGGAGAAGACACTGGCACTAAAGAGAGAGGGGCAGAGATAGTAAGAGGGAGAGAAAGAGAGACAAACCTGCAGCCATTCTGCCTCCTAGCTCTGTCTAGTACAAACTCAACATCCAGTGTAACAGGATTCTTTATCCATGATTAATTTATTCATTGTATGCATAATAGGGTTAGTATCGATGATCATAACCCAGAAATAGAAGTGATGTCAGGTTGCCCGTGTTCCTGTAGGTTTGCTCACAGCAGCGGAGGCTGTTGTGTGTATTGAGATGGGGAGTGCTTAATCATGCAAATTTTAAGTCATTTAGTTACTTCACATGTAGAACTTCATCTCTTCCAAGATAAATCTCCTTGGGGCAGAGCGTTCACCCTCTTGCCCTTCTCCACATGAACTGGCAGGAACAGAGATGCACCTGATCCCACGTTGACCTTGCACTGGCCACCTGATTCAGATTTGCTGTGGCCTCAGTCGTGAAGGCCTCTGCTGTGTGCACCCCTACCCAGACTTCAGGCCCTCCTAGCAATCCCATGCTCCAGGCTGAGAATACAGGCAACATTGCTCCCTTCCCCATCCCCCACTGGAGCGAGAGGAACTACAAGGCCGTAGTAGCCCCCCCACCCCCACCCCCCGCTCCTGCAAATATAACCCACCTCCCCAGCTGTTCTCTGACCTGCCCCCTGGCTCACACTACACGAATGAACTGTAGGAGTCTTGTGGCCCCTTGGGCTGTATCTCAGAAGCAGGACACACTCTGCTCTGCTGTAGGTTCTCCCGTGCTTTTCTGGGGAAGACTGTGTCCTGCCCTCTCCAGTCTGAACGTCACTCTCCTCTCCAAACTGTTAACTCCCCATCTCAGAGTAAGTCATACTCTTGGAATTCAAACCAAATCCAGTCTTCTCTGGACTACGTAACTCTTGCACATCAGAAGCTCTTTGCTTCCGGTCTTCGTGTCTGCTGTGAGTTAAAAATTAAGCCTTCAGTACCCCTCTCTGTTCTGATATCTGCCTGCCCTCCAGGAATATCATTGATTGAGCTGGAGGGAAACCCCAGGGAAGTGGAAATACCTAGTGAGCATACACATTTATTTAGGATTCTGCGAGTACCCTCCTTTATACATGCTGCAACCGTTGGAAGAAAATGTGGACTTTTTTTTCTTTAGAACATTCCAGTGGGAAATTGAGAAGGAGGGTCCCTAATTTTCTTAATAATGAATGATTATCTCTTTGGCAGATTATAATATGGGACATAATTGCTCTAATCCGAATTAGAAAATTGGGAGTGTATCAAGTGGTGACCATATGTAATGAGTCTGACCACACTTCGCTTGCTTTCTTAGGCCTCCCACATGCTTTCACTTTACTTTCAGTCATTAAATCATACAATGAGGTAGCTTCATGGTACTCCTTATGTAGAGGAAGCAACTTGGGGTTTGGAGCTTTGTGGCCAGTGAAGATTATCCTAAAAATCCACTGGGCAGGCATCTGGGTGCTCACTTAGAGCACGAGAATGATGTTGGAGAGCTTACGGCCAGCAAGCGGGCCCCTGTAGTCAAGGGCTGTCACTCCCCGGGTCAGTCAGTTCCCCAAGGACACCTTACAGTGCACACAACTGGTGTCCACTGACACTGACCAAGTGAATGATGCTCAATTTTCATACTTCTTGTTCTCGGGTGGCCAGTAATGCATTGAAAAAAGGAGCTAGCCGTCATTCATAAACATTGTGCCTGGTTTTATTTTTACTGCAGCCTTTATTTCAGGCTGGAGAGAATTAATTATACATTTACTGACTTGAAATCTCATTGCAAAGTTTAATCTCTAGAAAGATGTGTGTTTCAATTTTTTTTTTCTTTTGGCAGCGCTGGGAATTGAACCCAGGGCCTTTGCACTGAGCTTCATTTTTAGCCCTTTTTTATTTTGAGACAGGGTCTCATTTGCTCAGTTGCCCAGGCTGCTCTTGAACTTGAGATCCTCCTCCCTCAGCCTCTCAGGGTGCAATAGGTGTGCACCTGGCTGGTATTCAGGTTTTAAAAATGTGTTATAGAAAGTGTATTTATGAATCCTCAGGGATCCACAATAGTGGCCATTTCTCTTCTCTGGCTCCAGAACCCAGTAATGACTGGTTCTGTTCTCCAACTACTTCAATGTCAGACATATACACCAAATATTCTGCTTCTTACACAAGCTTTGGAACAGGGGGAGAGACTCATTCATTGCCCTGTACTTTTCAGTGAGACCCTCTGGTGATGGCATCAGATGTTTTGCTCCCATTTGTTCACACGCAGTGTACAAGTAGATGCTTTAATAAATATGCATCAGAGTTGAATCTCTCATTGTCTGTGGTTGGGCTGCAGCCTCTTCCAATCAGATTTGCCCAGATAAACAGTATCAGTTATCTATATTTGATTTTGTTTTCAAGGGAAGCTTCCAATGTTACGCCCTTAGCAGGGCTCTTAGGGTTGTCCTGAACTTTGCAGTGAGAGAAGCATTTATTGTAACCTTCTCCAGGTAATTGAGACAGGAGGCAAAAAGGCAGGGGTGTGAGAGCAGGGCTTTGGTTTGGGATGCGGTTTAGATTCAGATTTGCCAACACAAAGTCCTCTTGGATTTCTTTTAGGCAGGGCTCTTCATGCAGCATAATTTTATTCTTGTATTCAGCAGAGGCCATTGCCACATTGGTGTCTCAGGCTGGAGTGAAGACGGTCACCAGACTCCATGCAGTTAAGGACCTCTGACTGGGAGGAAAGCGTGTGGAGCAGGTGTCCAGGGCTTCCTAAATGGGAGGAGGATACTCCCAACACATACAGTACTATTGTGATAGAAAACAGTTTAGTGGCTAAGAAAATAAACATTTTAGAATCAGAGTACCTGGATTCAAATTCCAGCTCTACCCATTCACTCCCATCACAGATGGAACCTGAAGTTATTTTATTATTTGCACTAGTAGCATAGTGTTTATAGGATAGGTACTACATAAGGACAGATATCTGAGGATTCATTCTTACTACAAGGCTCCTTTCAGCAGTTCCTATGTTAGCACCATCTTACTGGAAAGAATAGGAGGTGGGTTCTCAATGATAAATCTACCACCATGGGCTTTTCTTTCCTTTCAATTTTCTTTCTGTCCATTTTTACTAACTTTGCAATTAGTTCAGTTTTATTTGCATTTTTACACAAAACAAGCTTGAACAACCCACTAGGATTATCATTTAGTGTAGAGAAAATTCCATTCTACTTTTGCCGCTCAGTGCATGAGGCCCTAGGATTCCCTTCTGTAATTACACTGTTACTAGCACTGCTGCATCAGACCTGCTGTAAGACCCACCTTATCACATAGAACGATATTTCTCATTTGCACATAATTCTATGCTAGAATCCATACCATAATTCTATGGCCTTGTCCAAACCAACTGAGGAGCTCTTTCTTCTTTATAGCCTCAGTCTTTGTCCTAATCCCAGTGGTCATGCTAAACAGTGATTTTGAGGAAGGTAGTCTCTGTATCTCCATTTCCTTATCTCTGAAATAAAGCAATAACCTTCATAAGATTGTCATTAGAATAAATTACATAAACATGTGAAACTTACAAACCAACACCTGGCACACATAACAGCTCAGTACCTGTTGTTTGTCCTTGCTTTTACTATTACTGTCTCTATTGTTATTACTGTATTTTATATAATTCATTTCGGTTTATAGTGACGGTGTCTAGGGAGTTCAGTTACTATTCCAGAGCACCATAGACTAGTGGACTTAAGCAACAAATCTGTGTTTCTCATAGTTGTGGAGGCTGGAAGTCCAGGATCAGGGTGCCAGCCTAGTCAGGGTTAGGTGAAGTCCCTCTTCCTGGTCTACAGACAGCTAGGAGCTTCTTGTGTCTCCCCTCGGTAGAGAGCTGGCCGTCTCCCTCTCATAGGGGCACTCACACCCTCCTGAGAGTGCCACCATTGTGTTCCAGTTATCTCCTAAGGGCATGGACTCCTTGTACCATTCCGTTGTGGGTGGGGCTTCAACATACAAGTTTTGCATGGACATGGAGATGAAGTCGTCTCACCCTACATCTTGGGTAGCTTGATGCTTCAGTAATTGAGCTATCCCCAGTTCCTTCTGAGAGAAAAAGTCAGGGCCTAAGGTGGTTCCTCTTCTTTGTCAGCTCCCAAGCCAAGCCATCGCAGACTCCTTCCTAGAAGAGTTTGTTTTAAGGAAATATGGTCCAGTACAGCTGTGCAATACTCAAGACTTCAGTAGATGGCAACAGCCTGTCGGAAAAACCATTGCTTAGCAAGATCCTTCCAGTTGGAGGACAGAGTTCATTTATTTACAGCAGAATACCATTGACAATGAAGTTATCACTGAACTGTTGAGGATCTTAATGTGTCACAAAACTGTATCGAATATGTAATGTAAAACATGTTCCCTCTAATTTTTCAAGTTAAATCTTCAAAACTATAAAATTTCTGATTTCCATACAAATTAAACAGATCTACTTAATTAATATGCTAGGAAAATATATATATATATACTTTCTGTGTCAATTCTTTTTAAAAAATTATATTCTAGATATTTGAAGTATACAATGTGATATGGAATACATGTAGATAGTAAAATGGTTACTGTCGGGAAACAGACTAACATATCTGTCAGCTCACATGGTTACACTTTAGTGACAAGAGCAGCTAAAATGTGTTTATTTAACAAAACTCCCTAATGCAATATAATTTTACAGATTTTAGTCCAGCCATTGTACTTTATCTTTCCAGATTTGTTTGTTTTGTTGTTTTGGTTTAGGGACTGAATCCGAGTCTTTGTGCTGAGCTATGTCCCCAGCCCATTTTAATTTTTTATTTTGGAGTAGGTCTCACTAAGTCTCTTGACCGCCCAGGCTGGCTTCCAATTTGCAGTCTTTCTACCTCAGCTTCCCAGAGTGCAGGGATTACTGCGTGCCACAACATCCAGGATTTGGCAGTTTTATGTGTACATATTGAAAAGGAATGCATTCTTTAATAACCATACCTCTCTAAAAGAAGATAGAACTTGGTTGGTCCAATATCAGTAAAGAACATTCTTTAATATTATATTTTCCAGCAAAACGTTAGAAGGAATACTGAGAAAAAAATCTATTTTGGATGGGCAGAACTTAATGAGAATCAGAGTTTTCTTTAATAAATTAATGTTATTAATTATTGGCATAGTAAGTTGGTACTAAGTTAAATGAAATGTGTTTCTTTTAAAGGTATTCTGGAGTGTGTACAATAACATCCCTCCCGTGACCAGCCTGCCTCTGAGATGCAGTTATCACTTAATGAGAGGAGAGAGGCGACCGCTTTGGTAAGTGTCAGATGTGCAATGTGAAGTCCGGGAGGGAAGGACACGGTTGTGAAACCATGAGAGGTCTTTTCACTGGTGGACGTCTCACGGTGAACCGCAGAGTGTCTGCTAATAATGACCGGGGCCAAGGCCTATGGGAAAGTATCCTTCCTTCTTTGATAGTTTAGTATAGTGATGATGGCACTGGACAGGAGATTGTCTAAATTACTGCTGGGCTAGAGTCTAAATTAGTAACCCTTGCATCACATCCTTCAACCTTTCTGAGTCATTTGCCCGCTGATAAAATGGAAATGTGTCTCATCTCCCATAACTGCAAGTGGCAGAAACCAAAAACTAACGAAAGTCACAATATTTTGGAACCCACAACTGAGAAGCCCACAGGCGAGGCTGAAGACCTGCACATCTGGCTTTGCAGATGTTAGCAGGACCCTGACACGCTCCATCTGTTTTCCTTTGCCTTCCCCTGTGCTGGCTAAATTCTCAGGCACGTTCTCCCACTTATGGTGGTCATTGGCCAACATGAGCTGCAGGCTCACACCCTTCAAGTTTACCAGGGTCGGCATTCCCCAGCCACAATAAAGTCTCAGGGCCGGCTGTCCTGGACCAACTGTGGGTCACCGTTGCAACCCTGGCCAATCACAAAGACTAGGAAGAGCAGGAGTCCTGTAGGCAAACCTGCATCATAGCCCATCTTTAAAGATAGGATGTAGAATCAACGCTCATCTCTATGAATGGGTCTCACATAAAGCCAGAGGCAGCTAAAGGGAAGCTTGGATGTTAGGGGCAGATTTTAAGCAGAGAAATGTAGCAGCTGTCCACGAGAGGAACATGGGTGGGTTGATATGTGATGGTGCCGTGAACATGATTTGAAATGTAAAGGTCTTCACACCCAGGAAGCAGCTACATTAGTTGTCCTTCTCCAGAAGAGTCCAGAGATCTCTTGAGAATAAGGTCCTAGGTCCTGTCAGCCTCTCTGCCTGCCCTCATCACTATTTCCTTCTATCCCCAGCTCTATCCTTTTCCTTTTTCTTTCATCTACTTCTGTATCTAATCAGAGGGTGGGGTGGGGGGAGTTACTGAAAAATGCTGATTGTTTTTGTTTTTAAGGTCACCTATTATTAAGCTAACTATACACAAATATGTAATCTAAATGCATCCAGAACTAGCTGGTCATTGAGTATAACTTTAACGTTGGTCTCTGTTGCAGGGAAGAGGAGAGTAATGCGAAGGGCGGTGTGTGGAAGATGAAAGTTCCCAAGGACAGCACGGTAGGTGTTCTGTTTCCCATGCCGGCCGAGCTTGGGTTGCTGTTGACAGTATGCCCTGAGCATTGTGTGCTTTTCAGAGAACCTGCCTAGACATCTCCCATGAGGCCTGGGGTTGACATTCTCTTCTGAGCTTGGCAGTAATTCTTCCTTGCACTTGGCACCTTGAAAATATAGTATTGTGCTTTGCTATAGAAATGGTGAGGTAGTGTCACTGTATCATGGAGTCTGCAAGGGCTGAATGCCTGTGTGAAGTGGGATCAAAGAATACAGTATGTTTAAATTTTTAAAAATTTCTTACAGTAGCAGACATATTGCCATTAACCTCCCCTTAAACGCCCCCCCCACACACCTCAAACATACTTATCTCGTCATCCTTGCCTCTTTTTGAAGCAGTTGTGGAAGTCTGTTTGGGGAGAGTCTTCAGTTGCACTGTTCTGGGTGCCTTGATGTCCAGAACGGATTCAAACTGTTTACCTCTCATGGTCATTTTGACTTTGGGGAAGAACCGGAAGCCTCACAGTGCCACATCAGTGAGAAAGGCGGGTGAGGACACACCGCAATGTTTTTATGAGCCTGCCTTTCCATTGGATGACACTCAGCAATAGCATTTACCATATTTTTTTTATCATGTTTTGTAAAAACTCTCATGAAAGAGGACCTCCAGAACTACTTTAAAAGTGGCACGAATGATGAATTAAGTGTGTTCAAATGAGGAGTATTTTCAGGGGGACTACTGGCAAGGTGTCTTTTTACTGTGATAATTTTTAAAAATTTAAACAGTCACCGTATTTTCTGATCACCCCTTGTGAACCCTACAGAAAAGTTGATTGTCTTTATGGCAGTCCTTTCCTCACTAGCCATAACTAACATGTGGAAGTTGGTTTTCTATGGAGAGAAGAGGGTCCTTCCCACCAAAAAGCACATCCTTTCCTCCACTGGAAGGCAGAAGCACTTCAGTGACCATGGGATGGAAAATGGGGAGCCTCAGGGACTCTCCATTCTTTGGGGTTTCAGCAGAGGCTGCACTCACATTTTGTAGGCATAGGCTCTAGTCTGTCATACTGCCTGAAAGTGAAATTGTCATGGGCTGGGTCTGAGGGTCTCCGTGACCGAAATAAGGAGCTTACCCCACCCCTTTAAATTAACTTCAGAGGTTCGCTGACTCCACAGAGGGAAAAGAATTTTCAGAATGCATCAGTAAAAGAAGCATGAAAAGGATTTATGAGAACATAGAGGATGCACTCAAGAGTGGAATGTGGATGCCTGAAGAAATGAGGAACAAGGCAGTTGGGAACTGGGGGTCTTTTGTTTGTTTTTTGAGGTGGAAGTCTGTGGAACTCAATGATCTGTAGTCTCAGTCTTAGTCTTAGAGCCTGGGAGAGGATGGCCCACCCCTACTGAGCTCTTCCCTTGGGAAATGCCAAAAGGGTGTCCCTTTATGGGTGAAAGGGGACCATTTGCAGGTAAAGGAGAATGGGCAGAGCCCTTTGCAGCTGAAAGGGAGTTGCGCAGGTTTGCTGTTCTGAGAAAGAGAAAAAGAAAATAAACCACACTCATATTTTGAAGCTGCAGGGATTTTTTTAAGTACAATTTTTAAAATTTTGATTTGTTTATGTCTCTTTCTACCTAATTTTATTTCTTCTATCCTACCTCCAAATGAGCATTAAAGTTGCCTTCTTAAGCCCTGCCAGACCACAAAGCTCCATTGAAAATGGGTGAAAGGGCAGATGCTGCCCTGTCTCATTCTTTGTGTCTTTTTTTCTTCATGTGGATGAGCTCAAAGATTGAAATGCCTCCAAGAACCCACATGCTTGGGCTAGAGTCATTTCCCTATAAACACATACCTGAAGGTATGGCCAGATTCTTGCCACGGGTATAACTGTTACTCAAGATGTGTAGCTCCAGCTGAGAGTGGGGACACACGCCTATAATCCTAGCACTGTGGGAGGCTGAGGCAAGAAGATCATGAGTTTGAACCCAGCCTGGACAACTTAACAAGACCCTGTATCAAAAAAAAAAAAAAAAAAAAAAAAAAGAGGTCTAGTCATGTAGTTCAGTTCAAAGTCTGTAGGTACAGCCCCCAGTACCCCCACCCCAAGGATCACTCCAAGATTTGATTGATGCTGTATTTGGCATATGTAATAAAAAATGTCAAAGGAACAAGTAGCACACCAGGCATAGCATGTGAAACCCCTCTACTCTCCTAAAAAGAGAGAGCAGAGAATTTGGGTAAGAGAATGCAAGAATGCTTAAATTTCAGTGAGAATGCCTTTGCCTGCTCATATTATTTACTTGCACTAGACTTTGAATTCTAGTGCAGGTTATGTAGGGGAAACAGAGGTAACTCCCAACCTGCTTGATGTCAGATACACCGAGTTTGTGTTTCCAAAAACGAAAGAATGAGTTCGGAGGAACAGTGGAGGGTAAGAGTAGAAAATATTTATTGAGAAAGAGAGATAGCTCCTGGAGGAGAGGGGACAAAACTATGATCAACCAATAAGATGACAAGTGTAGCCGCTTAGGTAATATCCACTGGGAAAGGGAGTCACATGGAAAGTGTATATGGAAAGGAGGAGGACCTTTTCAGGAAGAGAGGAATCAGGGGGTCTTAGTCACTCACTGGGGTGACTGATGTTGATTGATTGTTTATCTCTCGGGGAAGCATGTAGCCCTGGCCGTTTTGTCTTTATCTTGAGGCCTGGCCTCCAATGGATGTGCCTCCAGTCACAGTTGTAATGGGTTTTCATCCTCTCTGTTGACTCCTCCGAGGGCCTAGCCTGTCTGACTGCCTGTAATATTTTTACTTAGCTGTGTGTAACGGAAGCCATCATGATGTCAACATTCATTGACAACATTCATTGAAAAGTGGTTAAAGGTAGTTGTGTCATTCCTGTCTTTCTCCTCAAGCTCCCTTGGCCACATTCCTTTGCAAATAAGCTCTCTCCTTGGTGCAAGTGCCCTTGTGCCGGCAGGTCAGCGGCTCTCTCTCGCCGCCCTGTAGCAGTGCGGTGGGGCTCCCATCCCTGCCTACAGTGCAGGAGTGCTGTCTCCCTGCTCCTCACATCTTCAGCGGAGGACAAGGCCAAAGCTGGGCAGATAGAAAATGAAAGTGATCATCTCTAGGTGGGAGACTAATAGATGAAATGCAAGGGTCTAGGAAAGAAAACACCAAACTCTCCTTGAAGGTGATTAGTCACCTTTCATCTCCTTAGTTAACTGCCATTGCCTCAGCTAAAAGATCAGCACAGCTGTGAGCTCATTAGGGTTAGGGTTAGGGCTGTGGGCTCATTAGAACATAGTAATAAACACTATTATTATAGTTAATGTGTAGTGAGTGCCTCACATACAGCATATAAGCAGCTATTTGTGGATGTTACAGATTGAGCACATTTGTTGCAATCACTGTGCTAAGTCCTTTGAATGTGTTCACTCACTGATGTCATACAGTGATCCTGTGAGGTCAGCCCTATTATTATTTCTTTGTTTACCTAAGGAGACTAGTGCTCAGAGAGGTTGGTGTACTGCCCCAGTCACAAACAGTAAGCAACAGCTCAGAATTCGGACAACTCTGGGAGACACCAGAGCCTGTGAACTGTGGCATGGAGGATTAATGGGACCAAGAGCTATTCCAGGGGAAGAAATGGAAGTACCGTTAGTTCCGGTGACCTGTGAGTGGATTCTCACTGTTGGTAGATGGCATTAGTAATTGTCTATAGAAGGAACCACGCCCTGGTGTTTCTCACTGGCGGGAGGCAGACCCAAAAGGACTAATCCTGACAGAAAAATTGTGTACAGTTGTACATAAGCCACTACTTAGTGTAAACAAGCTGTTCCTGGTGAACGGACTTTTGCAACTCTAGAATTCAGTAAACAATAAATTTCTTTAAGTGTTTTTTTTTTTTTTTACTGGGGTATTTTGAAATACCTTATCAGATGCAAGAAAAATGAAGAGAAGGATTTTAGTAATAACACTCAAATATACTCAGCTGGTACATTTTAAAGCAGCAAGAGATAAAGAAACTAGGAAAGCATAAGTCTTTTGAATTTTTCCCAGTACTTCTGAACTTCATCAGGGTTTCACTAGCAGTCAGCTTTCACAAGACTTTCGATCCCTGTGTTTTGTCTGGGTGAAGTTATTTGTAAGCCAGCAGGAAGTATGCCCCCCTCAGAAATGTTTACACCCAAGATGTGGAAATTTCTGAGTCCTCCTGATGTGGGTGTGGAAAGTGCGTGTGAAATTGAGAAAGCTATAACTTGTTTGGCTCCTGGAGATAATGGTCTAAAAAAATGTGTGTTTTCTTTTTGTTTTGATTTCTACTCTTTTCCCGCATCAGTCCACAGTTTGGAAAGAGCTGTTGTTAGCAACTATCGGGGAGCAGTTCACAGACTGTGCCGCAGCAGGTAAAGAACCCTGGTTCGGGCTGTCTGTGCCTCCTGTCTGTTTGGCCCCTGTGTGTTTCTAGCAGAAGTTTAGTCTTATGTGTTACACTTTCTGCATGCTTTGGAAATGTTCTTTTTGTAATTGTGAAGCTAGATTTTTTTTTTATGTGATTGCAGTGTTTAGTGGAAGATATATATGTATATTTACATATGTATACAGTCAGCTCTTTCATATGTGGGTTCTATACCCGCAGATTCAACCAACCAAAGATCGAAAATATTGAAAAAACAGATTGTGTCTGTATTTAAACACGTACATATGTTTTTTCCTTGTTTTTATTCCCAAAACAGTATGGTATAACAACTGCTTACATAGCATTTATGTTGTTCAACCAATCACAGATCAAAAATATAGAGCATTTTATAAAACAATATGGTATAACAAATGTATACATAGCATTTATGTTGTATTAGGTTTTATAAATATGGAAAGTCCCCAACTTATGAACATTCGAGTTGCAAACTTTTACAGATTAAAACAGACCTCAGATTATGAACATTCAGAGGTTCAGACAAATCGCAGAAGTAGCTCGTGTGTCTGCCGGGCATTGTCACAGTTGTGCTGCTGTGTGCTCAATGTGCAATGCGATAGTGGATAGTCAGAGCCCCGGATGTCCGGAAGTGAGAGGAAAAAGCCCTGGTGATGTGGAGGGGACTGACAGGAAGTGCAAAGCAATAACCATGGAAACAAAAGTGAAAATAATGGAGAGATTAGACTGAGGCAAAAAGATGGTAGACCACTGGTTCTTTCAACACGAATCACTCAACCATTGGCACAACTGTAAAGAACGAGGACAAGATCATGGAACATGAAGTTTTCTATGCTTTACATTGTATGTTTGTGTCAGAGTTGTAGAAGACTCACTTGGTAGGACAGGAACGAATCCCACGTAGGACCTCATTCCTAAATCAGGGAATGAGTAATATAATCTAAAGATGATTTAAGGTGTAAGGCAGGTTCTATGCAAATACTTTGAACATCCATGAATTCTGGTGCGGACGGGGGGTACTAGAGCTAATTCCCACAGATACCAAAGGATGACTGCGTATCATACAGAGTCTGCCCGAAAATGTATTTATCAAGAAAAACTTGTATAAATATTTTAATACTACATTTATTGAGACATCATGAGATTAGTAGAAGTTACTTTTGGCCTCTATAATTAGAAGAGGTGTTCAAAGTGGTGGCCATTAGCTTCCAGATATTTGTTAGTACAGTGGACTCTATATATGTGAACATACATACATCTGTTTCACTTCATAGCTCAACATTATCCATAACCATCTATCTAGAGTGGCAGAAAGAAAAGGAAACTTCGCTGTCAGCCAGCCTCTTCACACAATCATGGCAAGTCTCCTGTAGCTATTCCATCTCCTCTGGGAAGGGAACGTGCCTTCAGTGTCTAGTGGAGCTGCAGGTAGGCAGGCACACATCCCTCTGTCCCTCCCAGTCAGCTCTCTTCCTTCCTTCTATGCATCTTCTAGTCCTGTTGAGAGGACCATCATGGTAGGCAGGGATGTCCTTGCTGGTACTCCCCACTGTCCCACAGCTGGGGAGAAAAGAACTCCTCAGGACTTTCCTGCAAAGACTGTCTTCCGATACTGAGTGGACTTCTAAGAGCCCCTTTAGGCACTTTTCTGTGTTTTGTTTTGTTTTGTTTTGTTTTGTTTTGAGTGCTGGGAAAAGAACCCAGGGCCTTGAGTGTAGTAAGCTGAGCCCTTCTGCCAGCCTCTCTGTGAACACTTTTTGTTTTGCTTTGTGCTTATTGTGAAACCTCTAAGAGAAGTTAACTGCTATTTAAAGGTTTGTTTTCTTCTTGGGTACCTCCTTCTGAATGCTCCTGAGGTAACATTTAGAAAAATATTTTTTTTTCTATTCAACTTTCAGCTAGTTTTTTTTAGAAATATACTTCTACTTGTTAATTTTTCGCTAGTTGGTTGGGTCCATTGGCCCTTGATCTCTTAGCTGGGACTGTCTTAGAGCACCCCTCCTTCCTGGTCCTACCACAAGTTCACATTCATCTTTCTAGCATTTCAGTAGTTCCACTTTTCTTTTGCTTATGCCTTAACCACTTTTTATTCACTTATAACAAATCATAGGTTAAGACAAATTGTCTTAAAAAGTATAGTCCTTCTGTTTCAATAGAAAGTCATTAACAACTTTATAATATGCAGCCAAAAATGTATCCTATATATAACTGTAACTGTATGAATTATTCTTCTTTCCACAATTAGAGAAAATAGTCTAAGTCATAGTAAATCTCCAGTTTTGAGTAAAGAAGGCCAATTGTTCTGTGGCTGACTTAGAAAGTGAGAGGACTGTTGTTAACTATTAGCTCTCCCATTAACTTGCACTGCCACTTGAAGCAAGGCAGCTAATCTTTCTGGACCTTACTTCTGTCATCTGTAAACAGTGACTCCTCCTGAAATCTGCCTGTCTTATGCTGCCTGTACCCAAAAGTAATCCATGTTTTGCTGGTTGATTCTACTTATGAGTATCACATGTTTGCTGATGGACCTACCTTTGTGTAAGAGCTGGGATCATTTTTACCTTGACACTTGTGAAAGAGCTGTGTTCTTAGCAGTACCTTGTTACCAAAAATGAAGCCAAAATTTAAAAAAATGACAGTTTGGCATGTTTAGCATCCATCAGTTATCTACTGACCCAAAGTCTCCCTCTATTTTGGTAAGGCAGGGTCTAGCTATATAGTCCAGGCTGGTGTTGAACTCACTATGTAGCTCAGGCTGGTCTCAAATTCACAGCGATCCTCCTGCACCAGCCTCCAGAGTACCGGTATTACAGACATGTGCCATCATCCCTGGCAGGCCTCCCTCTTTATGTGATGGTTTTATTTTTAGATAAAATTTTTCATTGAGCAAGTGTATTTTTAAAATATAAATTTAAAAATATACCTAAAACATTTTTTCTTAAATTTCTGAAGTTGGCCATGATCAGATACAGTGTGGGTTTTGGAGGGATCTTTTTGTTTTTACTGTGGCACAGGTACAGGAAAGTCGGTACATAAAGTATATAGGGATTTATTAACATTGACAAAGTACTGTAGGGCTGAGGATTTAGCTCAGCGGCACAGCGCTGGCCTGGCAAGCGCGAGGTCGTGAGTTCGATTCCCGGTACCGGTAAAAAAAAAAAAAAAACCCAAACAGACAAAGTACTGTATATCCCTGTGACTAACCTCTAGAATCTGCCCTCACCTTCCTTCCCCCTAAAGGGGGCCGCCAATGCAATTTCTAGTACCATAGCCTAATGTTGCTGGCTTTTGAACTGTTATGTAAATAGAGCCATTTAGTGTTGAGTCACACACATTTAGCCAGGGTCAAATCCTTTTAAAAAGGAAAGAAGGAGGGCAAGGAGAAGGAGAAAAGAGAGAATGGAAGAAATAAAGGAATTATCTCACTGATGATGATGATTTGAGTAAATTAGATATGCCCTTATTTAAATCACACTCAACCATCAGAATATTTTATCCTCCAGATCATTGGAAACACCAATGACATGAATACTTAGATTTATAGATGCTAGCAAATTAGGCAAAGCATATTACCTAAAGCCAAATCTCCAAATTTCGGTAATACTTATCTTTCCCATATTACTTAGCAGTGCCAGGGGCGCAAGTGCAGAAAGCCGACCCTGTTTCCTGACTGGTCCATGGACATGAAAGCACAGGCATCAGAAGTCTGCCTTTCTATTAATTCTCTGCTGATTAGTATAAACAGTTGCAACAAGGGCACAGATAACAAGTAGGTAGGGGTTATGTACAGATAACAGTACAACGGGCCTGACTTCCAGCCACCGTGCTCAAGTGTGTCTACAAGGCAGCTGCGAATCTAGAATGTCATTTAAGAGACAAAGCCCACATGAATCAGTATAGATAGAGATAAAATAGATGCTTTAATGAACCTTACTCAAAAGATAAAAACTCTCACTGTGGTGCTAAGGGATGGTCCTTGGTTCTCCAGCCAGCAGCGTAATAAGACCAGAAGCGGGTTGCTAAAGGGAAGCACCAAAGTGCAGGAGGAATGACTGCGAAAACAGCAGACAAGCAAACCACAAACAGCAGATGTGCACCTGGGAGCACACAGTCTGGGGCCAGTGAGAGCTGGGGCAAATGGCACTAGCCTCCCAAGGTCCCCAAAAGTTTGGCAGAAATCAGTCGAAAGCCTTGCTGTTCTTAACAAAGACAGCCAGGCATCGAGGAAAAGTTCATTTAAGTTCACTTGGCTTTTAGAGGGCAGGGAATTATGCAACCCGTTTTAGAAAAAGTCTCATCAAAACAGAGTAAGAAATAGAAAGCTTTGGTAACATGTTTAAAAGGGTAAAATTACTTATCTGGAAAATGTGTTTGGCTGGAACACTTTGTTTATCTACGTCCTGGATAAATGTGATGTGACTGCTACAGCTTTTGTGTACTGATTTGCTTTTTCCAGTGATTCCCCAGAGAAGCAGTTATTTATTACAGGTTTTCATGCCACCTTCTTTTTTTCCCCCCATCTTATCCAGAACTTACAGGTAAAATATATAGGTGCTTAAAAATAATTAGACTTGGAATTGTCACTCATAGCTTTTTTCTTTGTCCTGTCCTCCCTGCAGATGACGAAGTGATAGGAGTCAGTGTCAGTGTTCGAGACCGTGAAGACGTCATCCAAGTCTGGAATGTAAATGCCTCATTAGTGGGCGAAGCGACTGTTTTAGAAAAGATCTATGAACTTCTGCCTCACATATCTTTTAAAGCTGTGTTTTATAAACGTAAGTGCTTCATTTCCAGTTATTACTTCCTAGCTTATCCTGTCATACTTTAAAAACAGACACTGTGTTGCAAAATGAGGTGAGGACAGAATCACTTAAAATTCTGTAATTCAGAAAATAAATAAAACACATTTAAGTGTGTTTTTTAGAAAGTTGAGTCTCAGAAATTAAAATGAGATTTTATTCTTGCCTAATCTTGTGTATCAGAAAAGAAAATTCACGTCGTATTTGTTATTTCAAAAATATAAACCTGAACTTAAATTTGTCATTCTCAGAAGAAAAAAAAATGACATTCTGTTGGAAACAACAATAACAAAAATGTCATTATATGAGCTAGCAGGTAGATATTCAATCATCCCTTCATAAACAGAGTTTTCTAATGTATAACATCTGTATTTGTGGAGAAAACTCATTCAGAGCACAGGCATGATTGAATGTTCTACTGAAATGCTAATACTTCCTCATTACTGATGCCTGTGACACAGAATCTAAAGAGAATTCACGCATCGTGGTGAAATGTGAACAGTATGAATAGGTGTGTGGACCCATTGTTTCCATCATGATTCATGTTCATTGCTTTTGTGTGCTCTTTTAAAGAAAATCATCTTTTTCATAATGAAAACATCTTAGCACTGTTAAACCCATGCTTGGTGGATCGAGCTGCAGATTATAGTTTTAACAGCGAGCTTCAGAAAGGGATTGACAGCCCTACACAGATGTGCTAAACTTCCTATATCCCAAACTGTACCTGAAGTAACTGATCCATTTTTAAAAACTATGGTATTTCATCAAATCTAAGTTATTCTTGATAATAAGATGCCCTGTTATTCTAGAATTACTAAGAAAGAAAAAGAAAATAAACACTGGTCATTCAAATACACAAGGGAGATAGTGTAGGCAGGGAGCATCTTAGAATTGCTGAAATGCACTACATTAATGTCTCACTTTTCTCAATTGCTTGCCAAAAAAGGACTTAAAAATCAAATTTTGTTTCATGATTGCCCTAGTATGATAGCAAATATGAAAATTCAGGCCTCCCTGTAAGGAGTCCCCCAATCACCAGCTAGTGATTCAGGCTTTACAGAGACTGATCTGGCCTGCATCAGGAGGCACTGTTCCTCTGAATTTTAAATGAAAGTTTAAATTAAAAAATGGGGAGACAGCACTGCATCCATTGGTTACGGGGTATGTAGTGTGAAAATTGCAAATTTGTTGATCCAGTGGTTTTTTAGGGATATATTAATTGTATTCACCTCAGAAATTAATTACAAAAAGAAATGAGATTCATTGACATTTCTAGATGGGCTTTTCCTTACCCCTTTGAAGATAGTCCCACAGTTGACTCAAAGGAGGAGAAATGCGGTTGGATTCATTAAGTCCGGCACTCTGGACTTTTGTCCACTTCAACAGTGTGACCTTGAGCACAGGTCACAATTTCCTTCAAACCACAATTTACTTTCTCATTCTAATACTGAGAAAGTTGGTCTTAGATGATCTCCAAAGTTCCTTCCACTGCAGGATTCTATGAATAAACTCCCATGGTACACACTAGTTAGCAGCAGTTTAGCCTGATGTGTTTTGTTAGATAATTAGGCCACAGAGTGGTCAGGCTACTTTTTTAGGGCTATATATATATCAGGTAGTGCTGACCAAGGGTAGGATAATGACTCACCACTTAGCTATTGGGATAGGTGGGGGAAAGAAAAAAAAAAGCCAAATAGGGAGAAAGTTACAAAGTGTCCAGCTGAATCAAGCTGAATACTCACCCTAAAGGTAGATGCCCTTGCAAATTTGTGAGTAAAGGCAACAGGTCTCATTAAAAATCATATTTTAATGGCACAAATTAACATTTTAAAAAACTCGAAGATTATTCAAGTAAAATTTTGAATTGGGAAAAACAAGCCATTCTCCTTATTTTGCATAAAGCAGGCAGTCCTTTACTCAGCAGGGTTATATACCATGTGCTGCAGAGTAATTTAGAGAAATGTAGTCTGGGCAGAAATTTTTTTCACAGCATGATTTAGAAATGGCCAACTTGTGCTTTTATTTTGTCTTGTTAATAGCATCCTGGTGTAACTCGCAGAAGCTAGGTAACTAGACTTTCCATGTAGAAATAATCCTGACATACTCAGTCATGGCATCCAGTGAATGGAAAGGATTGGGCCATTATAAGTTATGTGGTTTCAATATAGATTAAATATTTGAGTAAGAAAGTCAAAATACACACACTCACAACACACACCACCACCACACCAGTTCTATTAAATTCTTAAGAGCAGCAGAATTACAAAGGTCTTTTCCTATGTATTGTTTAGAGCAGGAGTTGGAAAATCAAGAACCTCAAGGCAAATCTTCCCCCTCCTCCACGCTCTCTCCCTCCTCACCTGTTTTTGCACGGGTGCAATAAAGAATAGTTTTAAATGTTTAAATAGTTGGGAAAAAATCTGGAGAATTGTATGTTGTAAAACAGGAACACTATTTGAATGTCAAATTTCAGTGTCCATAAATAGTTGTTTTCTTCTGATGCTGGGGTTGGAACCCAAGACCTTATAACACTGGGCAAGAGCTCTACCTCTGAGCCGTGTGCCTACCCCATGAAGTTGGATTGGCGTATACAGACGCCCGCTTGTATTCATATTTTTATATCTGCCTTAGTGCTGCAGTTGCTGCCACTCCCAGATGAGGTTTGCTGTCTCCTGGCTTGCAGGGCTTCCCTGAAGCTGGCAGATTGGCCCCTTGTGCTCAGACAAGGCGGCTTTGAATGGTCTGCGCCACTCTCTCCTTAGCCCATGGACCTTGCAGTATTTCAGCAATGGCTGCCCCAGACTGTCCCTCACACCCAAAAATAAAAAAAAAATGTGGATAGTCCATGTCTCTGGATTCATACTTTATAAAACAACACAGCTATCATTCTGTGGCTCCTCTACCTGACCCTGAAACATATTTTACTACAGACCAAAGCTGCTTTTTTTTTTGTTTTTTTTTTTGGTGATGGTACTGGCACTTGAACCTTTACCTTGAGCTATATCTCCAGCCTTTTTTTTAAAAATTTTGAGACAAGGTCTTGCTATGTTGCCCAGGCTGAGCTCGAACTTTCCATCTTCCTGTATCAACCTTTCAGAGTGCTGGAACTATGGTCATAGGCCATCACACCCATCTTCCCAATCCACATTTTTTTTAACATCTGCCCTAAAACATTGTTCTTAAAAACAAAAAGACAAAAGCAAAGTGAAATATTTGTAATTATAGCTGTTAGAAATGTTTAATTAAATTAGGTCAGGTTTAAGCCACCCTTAGGAATTTGACCAACTCATACTAATCCTGGGAGTTATGAGGCTCACCTTCCTTGATGTTTTATCCAAATGAAGAGCCCTGTTGAAATACACTGCAAGATGATCTCAAAGAACACCCAGCAGTAGTGTGAACAATTTAGTCCTTATCAAAAACAGAGAGGTAGGAAGGCCTTAGAGGTGAAACGGCCCACCCGTCTGTGTCTTCCTAGAACAACATCCACTGCCAGTGAGATCAGGGTGGAGACAAAGCACGTAGGATCTTGACTCACCCCAGGCTTTATCAGACCTTGCTTCATAGTGGTGGTTAACCAATCCAGGAAGCAAATTTTCAAACTTGGCCTTCTGCTTTGGGAGAAATGTTCTGTGTTTCATAGGTCTCCCACTTCCTGTCTTCCACTTACATTTTTTAAAAAGTCTTTGAAAATATTTTTGATGGCATAATTTTTTATTCTAAATTTCCTAATTATCAGAGATTTTGCAAGACAGACAATCAGACTGAAAATCCGTGTGGGGGGGTGGGGTTGGGAAAAATAGAAGACCTATCAATTTTATGGAACTTAATTTCCCACAGAAGAGGTTGAGAAGGGGGAGGGTATAGTTCTTATCACTTTTGTGTGGTTCTTTGTTTTGTTTTATTTTATGTTTGTGTTAGTTATTCTTGAAGCGAGGCTTGTGAATGCCTCTGTCCTGGGGAAGACAGGCCCCTTTTCCCATGGAGTTGGTGGGGTGCACTTGCCTGCAGCATTTTCCTGAAGCCCAGCATATTCTCTTCATCAGCTTGTGGGGATGAGTCATCCTCTCCAGCGCAGCAAGAAGAAACAGGCAGCATGCCCATTGCTTGTTTATTCCTTGTTTTAATTTTCATTATTACGTTTCTCAGGAAATGCACGCCTTAGCTAACAGTTACTGGCAAAAAAGGTATTTGAGTTCTTGCCAAGATTTGGGGAAGCTAAATGAGATGCCTAGAGGAGGGTTGGCCCATCCTTTGCTTAAAGTTTTCTTTCCTTTTTTTCTTTTTTGTTTTTTTCTGTCCTTTAGCCCATGAAGAGCATCATGCTTTTGAAGGTGGACGTGGAAAACACTAATTGCACTCTGTAAAGAATTCTTTGTCCTTTGCTGATTGGTTTTGGAAACGGTCTTAACAGGAGGGAGAGTGAAGAGAAGACTTGCCGGAGCCCGATGCTGGTCCATTTAGAGTGGGTTTCTGTGCTTGCAGATTGGGCAATTAGGACTCAAAGTGGCAGGTGGGGCAGGGGGGTGATTCTGTGGGTTTCTACCGTCATATTACTTGCCTTTAAAAATATATATATATTTTTTTAGATTTCTAAATTCTCTGTTCTATTCACTCAGATTTTTTCCCTTTAAAATTCCTTATTCAGGCTAATTATTGTTTTCTACACTCCCCTTTCATTGAAGCACAAGAACTTGGTTTCCCTTTCAGTGGCTCTGCTGTACCTACTTAATGAGAATATGCATAATCATGACAATCCAGCTTTAGAAACCGCAGTGTACCAGGAGGAATACTAGCTTGGTGAAACCTGTCTTCTGGTTATTTGTTGTGACACATTTCTATGTGCTGTGAGCTGGGCATTGTTTTTTCTGCCCCAGAGAAAAGAAAAACCATATTTAATCTGATTTTGCACTGACAGTGTGCATATCTTGTTATTTTTCTTTACAAAATAATTCTTAGTGATAAAAGGAAAATAATATTTGGTTTGGCTAACATAAAAACTATAATCACAGTTTAGTACCAGGATCTAAGTCTTTGGAACTTCTTTGGAAGTACTTCTTACCAAACTCTAGGTTTGGCCTTTTCAGGGAAAGTCTTAGAGTAGTAGCAAGGGATTTCTCTGAGTATAAAACTTGATATTTCTGATTTAAAGAGGAGGTGTTATATTTTTAATTATTTAAATTAAACTTGCAAAGATTGGCTGTGCTTACCCACTTAGGACTTTCCAAATCAATTATAACCCACTCTGTTAAATAATCCCTCTTTCCTGCTCTTATTGTGTCGTTTCTGATAATCAATGGCCTCTCCAGCCTGGGCAGCTTCCCCTTCCATTTCGTGGGGAGCAGGAAGTCAAATCTCATTTCCAGGATGCGTGTGAGCATTCACAAAGTGGAACTGGGAGTACCTCCTGTCAACACTAACTGTTGGAATGGTCTGTACATAGTGTTACACTGCCAAAGAAGTGCTGGTGTTAGTCAGAGGAAATAACCACCCTCGGGAACACTAAGATCACTCAGAATACGCCATGTCCCTCTCTTGACTTTGCCAACCTTCTGAGTGCTTTTACCTGAGAAAGAGCAGAACTATTGGAGATGCCTCCTCCTGTTGGCTTATTTTTGGAGTTGCTGGGATTTGTGTGTGCTTACACATTTCTCAAGAGTGATGGATACATTGAGAATGTCCCTGTACCCCGGATTTTTAGTTCCTCTTGACCAGCAGAGAGAGGCAGGGCTACTCCATGCTTCCCACATGTGTTTGTAAATAAAGTTGTGCTTTCAAGCCTTGTAAATGACTTCCAGCAATATCTACTTATCAGAGTTGTGCCTTTTCATTGGGTTATTAACCATATCAACCATAATAATAATCAGTCATATTTTGCAAAACTGCTTTTTTCAAACTTGAGTTTCTTCATCAGTTTCAAAATGAACTCTTAAGGATACAGGGACCCTTTCGCAAAAGCCTAGGACTTGATTCTCTAAACAATGTACATTTCTTTCAACATTCAACTTGTTTTAAAATTTTTCTCGAGGATTTAATACAATTATTCTGGACATAGATTGAAATTTTTTTGTAATATAAATATTTTTCTGGTAGATTAGAAAAAAGGATATAATTGACCATAATAATTGTCATATATATTTCCACAAGTAAATGAATTTTGAGGAATTTTTATTTTTGAACGTTACTTACAGCATTTGTGATGATGTATTCAACTTTTGCATGTATGAAGCCTTTGAAGTAAAAATAAAATGAAATAAATAGGAATATTAGGCTCACGTTAATGTTTTCTAGTTTCTATTGTTTATGATCATGGAACCTGACAAGCTCACACAGTAGATTTTTGTCTTAACGAACTTCTGCAACTATTTTTGACCCTTTGGAAAATACCAGCTGTGAGGAGGATTTAATTTGCCTCATGTCAAGAACCTATCATCTAAATTACTTGAAGAGTAGATTTTGTCAGATTTTGCTTTGAAAATTGTTTTAATTGAATATTTAGTCATAACAGACTTTGTATGCACTAAGCTGATTTAATCAGTTTTAAAACCTCTCATTACCTTCTTAGATTAAAGAAGCTAATACTCTTTGAGATAGGAGGAAATCTTTCTGGGGCATGTGACTCTTAGGGAGGTCTTCCCCTCATGGCCAGTGCTGGGGAGAGTGTAAACTTCCTGCAAAATCCAGGTCCTTCCAGCCAAGTCCTGCTCAGACAGCCTCGTGGTCTCCCCAAAGAGCCCTACAGAAACCACGGAGCTCACTCTCTCGTCTTATAATTCCTCAGGGTCTGTGAGGCAGATCCAGGAAGTCTGACTGAAGCTAGTATAGTGTCTTCTCCCATTCCTCCCCTCATTGCTGTATCATAAATGCTTGCCTACATTGGGAAAGTTTCACTCGTTAAATACGAACGAATACTGCCCCTTAAAGCTTGTCAATGAAGCCTGTCGATTGTCTCTTGTAAGCATTTTCTGAGGTGCTGGAGTACTCAATTTTAAGATTTTCTCCTTTATTCCAACTTTCCCTCATTTTGGAAATGACATTATAGTTTATCGCAGATGTGTGCATGTCATATAATATTGCTGCTACATTCATGGTATAGTTGATGGAGAAAACACGTGAAAAAGAAAACATGATCAGTAAACTACGAGGTTCAGTTCCCTGCCCACCTTATCCTATCCTCAACTTTAGCTGGTGTCCGCACTATGCACATGATCACATACTTTATGGTTGAAAAAAAAACTTCAGTTGTAATTGGGTTCAGTAGACACAGTATGCACTCTCATAACTGAGCCTTGACTGAACTTGTCCCTCAAAGAGGGATGTAGGGTTAGCAAGCAGCATGGCTGGGCTTTGGTCCTTGAGCTCCATCCTGGCTAGGGCTTCCCTATCGGGAAAATCCTCACATCTGCAAACCTAACCTCACCAACAAGTCACCCTTGTCAGCACTAAACATCTGATCCAGTCCTAGCCATAGACATCATACAATCAGACATCTGCTGTAACCAGCTCCTCGTCCTCTGCCACTTACTCTCAGGGACGGAAGTGGTGTTAGGTTTGGGGTCCGGAGATAACCAAAGTACCACCAACTGGGCTTTGCCACCAGATGCGCCCCTCCTGGAGGAGCCCAACTTCTGTACTGACACAAATCTGACAGCATCCACAGTGAGCACGTGGTGGCGCTGCCTTCCAGGCAACCGTTCTGGGCCAGCAGCAGACTTCATCCAGCTATGTTTGTGGAATTAAGATGCTATCACATTTTGCTCTTAGAAGTTTGTCAAAATTTGATTAGAAAGTGTAAGTATTACACTTAGTGGAAGACATTTAGCACTCATACACCTAATAAAAATGATAGAACTCTTCAGACATGCTTTAAAACATCTCAAGTCCTAGGGTCTCATTGTCCCTATAAGCAGTTGAGAACACAAAGAATAGAACAAATGTACATATAGGAAATATGCAAAATTTTTTACCATTAGTTGCCCAAAGGTAATAAATTAGGATTTGATTTTTTTCTTTTTAGCTTCCTGAATATAGAGCTTCTTTAAAAATATAAATCTATTCTTTATCTTTCTCATGTTATTTCTGTATGCTTTCACTCATTATAAATCAAAGTAGAGGACTGCCTGTATATTGCTTATGTCTTAATATATTGAGCTGAATTACAATTCAGAGTTTGGTGGCTCAGAGCAGTGAATAGCCTGGATTGTTTTCTAAACAGCCAGGAAGAGTCAGAGGGTAAAGAGGAAGAAGACAGGAAGTGAGGTGCAAAGAGAAGTCTTTGGGACCCTGTACTCCTGTGCAGCAATTAGATATGCTCCCCCCACCTTTTCTTTCAAGAAAATAAATGCCCAAATAGATTGCTTACCCATCTGATTGTACTGTTCTGGGTTTACTATTATTTTTTACGTATGTGTCAAGATCTAAGAAGACTTCTTAGGTAACTCATTGATGCCCCAAATCACCATGTTTCATGGTGCTGACCTGACCTAGTTTTTAGAGGCAAACTGAGAAACTTAGAATATGAGAGTGGAAGGGACATTTGAGATCATCTACCAAGGGTTTCTTGCCCCTTAACATACAGAAAAATTGCTGGGGTGCTTACTTGTCACGCACATTTCTCCACCTCCCCTAGATCTGGGAGGCCTACATATTTGCAGTTTTAGCCAGCCCCTCAGTAACTAATGCCAATGGACCTCAGATCTCACTGAGAATCCCTGATTTTATCCAACCCTTACACAACAGATGAGGAAAGCCCCTCACCCCTAAGCCCTCTCAGATACCCTGATTTGAATGTATAGCACCAACAATCTTAGGAAAGCTAGAGAAAACCATTACCATGAAGACTTCATAAATGATGCCCATAAATAAGAAGTTTATAGCTGGGACCATAGCAGTCATAAGTAGCCCACCTCGGGAAGTCCATAATGTAATCTTTAATACAGAGTTGTGGCTTTTCTCTTTTATAAATACCATTTCAGCCTGTTAAGAGAAAAGAAATTAATGTTCAGAAAAAGTAGTTACTCCATATGTGCAGTAACTACTTTTCTATAATGTCTTATGGCATCTGGGGTTCAGCATCATTGAACAAGATTAAATGAATGTTATAGAGCTATAAAATTGCATGTAAAATAACGCAAAACTGTTCAGATGACTATCAAAGAGCCTGGGAATGAATTTCCACTAAAATTAATTGTCACCTTCTAAATGTAGCTTAGCAAAGCTGTTACTAAACTAGAGGGATTTTTTTAATAAACAGAAGTGTAAAAATAAGATAATTACTCCCCAAACCATGTGAATGATAAGCAGAAGCCATTGTAAAGTCAATATTTTTTTGTTCATCATTGCTACTGAAATTTAGAGTCCCATTGTATATGTGTGTGTTGAATGTGCCTTGTTAGAATATCCAATCATATAGCCTTTGGATATTCTATGCTCTGTGTCCTTGAGAAATCGTGAGGTTGCAGGAATTTGTGTTAAATGTTTTTGTTTGACTGCTGCCTGCAAAAGTCGTCAAATCATTTAATGAAATGCAAGATTGCCATTTTCCACTTCTAATACTGCAGTCGGAGAATTTTTCTTGAGCTTTTGGAACAAGTATTTCTTTGAGTTTTATTAAGTGGAAAAGTTTGCATTGCAGAAATGAGAATGAAGCAAATATGAGTGTTTCTGAGTTTTCTATAGAAATTAATGGTACCTGTACTCTTTTTATATACAAAAAAGTAATTTTAATAACATATTAAGAAGGAAAAGTGTTTAGTTTTAGCACTTTTGGAAATATTAAAGAACTTACAGTTTTATTTTAGTAAACTTGTAGAGTTTCTGTTTTGAAATGCACTTATTTATTTTGTGAACATGCACTAAATTCTTCCCAGATTTCTAGACTTTAATCAGGTAATGTGGCTTTTAGTAATTTTATGATTCTGTTTTAAAACTTTTTTTTTTGGTTTTTCTCCAGTACCGGGAATCGAACTCACGACCTTGCGCTTGCCAGGCAAGCGGTGTGCCACTGAGCTAAATCCCCAGCCCCCTGTTTTAAAATTATCAATGCTGTTTTCTTAGTATTTCTTCATAACAAATAACTGTAATTTTTCATGTGTCATGGAGAATTTCATTTGACTATTATACAAAAGAATTTCAAATCTGAACAAGTGAGCACCTTCAACCAAGATTTCTAGCACCCTCTGTCCCAAATTTAAAGTTTTATCAGTTGCCTTGAAAGGTATTCATTCTTCAGAGCAATCTTACCTGTGTAAGTTGAACCAGGTTTATTTGCCTTATGTTTTGGATCTTCTTGCCCCCCCCTCCCCATTTTATACCATCTGTGCCCTGTGTAGTGAGGGACCCTTCCACATCTGGCTACAAGCTGGTGTAATGCCCTTCCTTTTGATCTGGTTTCATCTAGTGATTTGCTCAGTATTTTTAAGGTCAGACTGAAAACTTTTCTGTTCTAGTTATTTTTGATTTTATATTGTGTGTTGTGTTTGATGTTCAGATACACGTGAAAGTTGCTTCTCTAAATCAGTAGTTTTTATTCCAGCCTTTTGCAGCAATAAGGTAAGACTAGTCTGTACTTTTCTTACTTGAAAATGTAGTAATTTATGTGTTTAGTACAAATGTTGGGTCATGGCTAAGGTCTTGGAGTTTTCCAACTTGAGACTCCGTTGCTGTGAATTTCTGCTCCTTCCCACTGCAACTCAGATTTTTAAGGAGTGTGTTTAAGTGCTATTAAAATGTGCAGAACTTTGTGTTGAGATCTTTCTAATGTGTTGTCACTAACTCTCATTCTGTATTTGGGGTTTTGTACTATTGAAATATCTTTTTCATCTGCCAGGTTGAAAATTTCCTGCAGTTTTGTCAATCACATGTGTAATCTTAATTAGGTCACAAGTGTGTGTGTGGTGATCATAGCCCTGCTTATTCAAGCATATATTGAAACTTGCTCCCCGACAGCTCTAATATATGCAAGGCTTTTCGTACTGTGCCTGGCACATAGCAAGTTCTCTATGGTACTCTGATGAGAAGCAACTATTTCTGTTCTGCACTTCCCTAAGGAACAAGCCATAGGTTTCATCTTGGTCTCTTAGAAAACAAATCTGGTTTACTTTAATTCTCCTTCTTTATGCTCTACTCAGAATGGTTTCATGTTAGAATAAGCCAGTTACTCTTGTTGCCTTTTGTGCTGTATTTGGTCGATGTGATTCAGGTGTCCCCTTCTCAGCCAGGCAAAATGAATTTACTCTTCCTTTCTGGCTAATAGATTCCTTTCA